AGGCCAGACTTCTGGATAGTGGATTCTATCCAGGGAAACTGTGACATGAAAAAGACATAGGAGATGGGAGGAAATAACCAGCTGAAAATAAACTCCTAGGGTGACCCTGTGGCCAAAGGGTTTAGTGCAATTGCTGTCTGTATAGAAAGAAAACTAGTGAGTAGAAATAGGTGGTGATATCCCATCTGTGTTTGTTATTGGTGCAACAGTTCTTAGCATACGGTGTTCACACGTCGATAGGGATGTTCAAAAATGTTGAAGGTTCAGAAGAACCACAGGTGATTAAAGGATCAAAAAAGATGCTTTATTGCAAGGGACTCAAGGTAATCTATCTGTTTAGCTCAGTGGTCGCCAACCAGTAGATCTCGAGCCACCAGTAGATCTCGGAGCGTCTTGGAGTCGATCCAAGGCTGGGGTGGGCGGCTGAGTGCCCGCGTGCATGCACATGTGCACCCCAGCCCAGTAGGTCAGTCCATGGGGGAGGGAAGTGGTGGGGGCTAGATTGAGGCCCCAGCAATGCAGGACAGTGCTGCTGAGGAGCCCTGTGAAATCCTGCTTGATGCAGCTACTTTGACACAAGACCAGTGATTACTACTTTTTGAATATAGTCTTCAACCAGTTGCCCACTCACTTGGAGTGAGTAATGGAGGCTTAGGTGAACCTATTTCCCTAGCTTGCTTTTGAGAATGTCATGAGACAAGGTCAAAGGAAATCCCATCCAAGCCTAATAGCCCACTGAAGACTATGGGATTAAGACATACTAGTTCCTTAGGCAACAGCCCATAAGGGAGTGATGTAGCTGGCATCACACACAGTCTGGATGAATAGGTACCTATTTACAGCTGGGTTAATTGGAGGCAGGCTTGGACAAAGGCAGGGCTTGAGCTCGTGCCTCTAAAACTAGCACAGTACCTTAAACACTGCCACTGCACCCCTTTCAACAAGGCCGAAAGTCAAGATGTATCATATCTGCTGCTTTCCTTTGCATAACAAAGGTCTGCTTTACTGTCATAAAGTGGAAACTTCGTTTGATACAACTTGTTCCTGATAAATCCTTGTTAGCTATTTCCTATGACCTTGTTGTCTACAAACGGATGCTTTATTATTTGTTCCAGTATCTTTCTGGGAACTGAAATTAGACTGAAAGATCTGTAATTCCCTGGGTCTTCCTCTTTCCCCTTTCTAAAGACAGGCACTATGTTTGCCCTTTTCCAGTCTTCTGGAGCTTCACCAATTCTCCATGAATTCTCAGAGATACTTGTTAATAGCTGTAAGATTGCTTTGGGCGGTTCCCTAAGTACTCGCGAGTGAAGTTCATCAGGAAGAGGTGACATGAAAGCATCTAACGTTTCTAAGTAGTTTCTAACCTTTTTCTTCCCTGTTCTACCCTGAGTACTTGCCCTAGATCACCAATGATGCTAACTGTACTATTCCTCTAGTCAACATTAGTCTGTATAATGAAGACAGAAGCAAAAATAGCATTAACCATTTGGTAGTGTTGAGGTGATGTGGTTGCCGTGATGGTCTGGTTCAAGTACTGGACCAATCTATTCAAGTACTTAGCTAGCTTCAAAGCTAGAAAGTTCTTCCTAATATTCAACCCAAGTCACTGCTGTTGCAATGCAAGGCCATGGAAGAAGGATTCTGGCTAATGAACCTGGTTTATAGAGAAGAACAGAGAAATAAGGAAACTGAACTGCTGTTTCCAAATGAAATTTCCTAATAGAAATGTTTCAACAGTTGGCAAAAGTGTTAGGGCATTTGGGTTTTTGACCAAAAGTTTAAATTTACAGTGGAATTAAATATTTTTTGCACAAGGCTTGTCTTTCCCAAAAAGCGCAATTTTCCCTTGCAAAATAGTATTGACAGATTTTTTTTTTAATCAACCCTTTTTCTCGATCCATATTTAGACACTTAAATAAAAAATTACGTATGGGTGTCTCAGGGGAGCTGGTTGTAGCCTTCTTGGTCTAAGGACATAGGCAGACAAGGTTCTTTGGGTAAATTTGATATCTTTTATTAGACCAAGTCACATAGCTGGAAAAATTCTTCTTTGCAAGCTTTTGGATACAAACACCCTTCTTCAGGCAGGGGACACAATTGCAAATGCCTCCTCTGCCTAAGGAAGGGTGTTTGTACCTGAAAGCTTGCACAGAAGAATTTTTCTAACTATTTGAGTTGGTCTAATAAAAGATATCAGATTTACCCAAAGAACCTTGTCTGCCTACATATGGATGTGTAATTATCCACATAGGCAGACAAGGTTCTTTGGGTGAATCTGATATCTTTTATTAGACCAACTTAAATAGCTGGAAAAAAAATGTTTATCAAACTTTTGGGTTTAAAAAAACCTTGTCAGGTTGAGGAAGTCTCTGCAGCTGGTGTGTGCTCTTCCTGGATGAAATGAATACTAAAGAAGCCAGAGGCTGGGCTGGTTGGCGTGCAAGACAGGCAGTCAGTGAAGATGTAAACTGAGGAGACAGTGGTCAGGCAGCTAATAATGCATCATATTTAGTCCATGATTTTTTGTATCCAGGAGGTTGATGAAGGGACGTTCATAGGCTCATCTCTCAGAAGTGTTTTGTAAGTCCCGTTTGAGGATTAGAACTGAGAGATTGGAGAGAGAGTGATTTTCTTGTGAGAAATGTGCCCCCACAGGTAATTGGGTATTCTTGTCTTTGATAGATTTCCAGTACGTTCATTCTGGTGTGCAGTTGTTGTTTGGTCTCTCCTCTGTATTTTCCATCAGGGCATTTGGCTCATTGGATGAGTTATATTACATTTCTGGAGGTGCAGCTGTAAGATGTAGGGATGCTGATGACTCTGTTGTGGGGTGTAATAATAGTGGGGGTGGTGGAGATGTGTTGGCAGTATTGCATTTCTTGTCATGGCACGGTCTGGATCCATTCAGTGTGTTCTGGGCCTTAGGAAGTTTGCTTCGAGGTGACGAGGTTAGCGAGGCTCAGTGCTTGTTTCGAGGCTAGGATGGGTGGTTCGGGGAAGATCTCTTTAGGAATAGGGTCTCTTACCTCATCACCAGAAGCAAACTTCCTACTATTTCCAACTATTTAGTTGATCTAATAAAAGATATCAGATTCACCCAAAGAACCTTGTCTGCCTATGTCCCTAGACCAACATGGCGACGACCTCCATCCCTGTAATTATCCACATAGAAGCCTAGCTTTGTGCAGTCAGATTTTAGAAAGTGTTGCTTCTGCCTTAAATTTTAACTTTTTATTTAAAATAGTAAGCCTTTGATAATTTTAGATATGATTTTGGGGCCTATGTATCTCTATATTTTATATAATTAAACAGTAGAACAAAAATATATTCTCATTCTTCCCCAGCCTGACCTAGTCAACTGTCCAAGCAAATGAACAGGACTCTTGTGAGCATTGGCAGAGGTAAGCTGGTATGAGAGCTGCTCATTCTTGTGCAGGATTCTTATGTGGCAGTGCAATGACTCAGTATTTGGGTTGTCAACACTGCAGGAGAATGTTTACATGCAAATAAATTTCCATTTTCTACAAAACCTAAGTTTTTGGCCTAAACTACCAAATGAAAGAATAACCTTTAACATATATGCATAGCACTTTTCATTTTCAAAATGATTTACAGACATTGGGCTTTGTTCATCCTTGCTGGAGAGGTAAGGATGAGGACAGGTAGCTATGCCAAGAGAGTCATTGGTCTTTATATGAGAGTAGCTTTCTTCATTTACAGAGAGGGCTTAATTGGAGTTCTGTTGAAACAGATTTGTTGTCTTGGGACTATTTTGAATCCATACCTCCAGTTGATGACCTAGCCACAATGTTTTTTTGGCTGGGCTAGCCTACTCTTAGGTTGCTGTCTCTGAGAAAGGAGTTGCACCTGGCTTGCGCCACTGTGAGCATGTCTACAAGTTCATTAATGTTCCTTAGACACTGCACATTTAGTTTTGTACTCACTTAATAAGTACTAACTAAATAAGTATAAACTAAATGTGCCGTACCTAGAGTTACTGCACAGTAGTGCCGGTGCACAGTTATTTAATGATGTTTACTGTGCATTAGCTTAATAACATTGCACAGTCAGCTATTAGGATGGTTTGTGCTGTGACGCACTACTGTGCAGTCAGTGTCTCTTATAGATGCGCTCAGTGAAACCCTTTTTGGGAGAGTTTCTATTGATAGATGCCACGCACTAGTTTACCTACATGCAGAAATCAGTGGAATCCCAGTGAAAACGGAGAACGTCATTGCAGATTCTGCAGGTGTGGAGTCCCACAGAAGACCATGGGGTTGTAAGGAGGTAACTGAGAAGAGATTTTATCTAATTGTCACAAAATTGATAATTAAGTTTAATTAAGAATGAAAAACCTGAGAAAGAGAGGTGAAATAACTGGCCCTAGGTAATAATGAAAGGATGGAACCAGGATTAGAATACCAAGAAGTTTTGATTGCTACTCTCATGTTCACGCCACTAGTGTAAACCTATAAACCGCGAAGCCCCATGGAAAATCCTGTCTAATACTGGCTGCCCAACAAGTTCATCAGTGTTTTGAGACTTCTCCATGACAACAAGTCAGCAAGGGTTTTCAGCAATGGGAATCAAACAGAACCATTTGAGGTGAAAACTGGAGTGAAGCAAGGTTGCGTCATCGCTCCAACTTTGTTTTCCATTTTAATCTCCACCCATGCACCTTATCGACAGAAAGCTCCCACCTGGAATTGAAATTGTATATAGGATGGGTGGAAGACTGTTCAATCCCAACAGACTCAAGTCCAAAATGAGGACCATGACAACATCCATAATGGAGCTCCGGTATGTGGATGACAATGCTGTCATTGCTCAATCTGAAACGGACCTCTAAACCATTCATAATGTATTCTCAGAAGTCTATGAGAGTATTGGCTTAACTCTAAACATCAAGAAAAAGCAAGTCCTTTACCAGCCTGCTCCAAATGGAGAAACAACCTCCCTCCCGGGCCATTCAAATTAATGGAGAATTGCTGGAGAACATGGATCACTTCGCCTATCTTGGCAGCCATCTTTCATCAAAGACAGACATCGATGTGGAAATGCAACACCGCTTGAAATGTGCAAGAGCAGCCTTTGGACGTCTGAGTAAGAGAGTCTTCTTAAATCATGACATCCTTGCTGAAACGAAGCTCTTAGTTTTTCAAGCCATTCTCATTCCAGCTCTGCTTTATGGCTCGGAAACTTGGACCACGTACAGAAGACATCTCAAGAGCTTGGAAAAGTACCACCAACGGTGCCTTTGCAAGCTCCTTCAAGTTAGCTGGGCGGATCGATGCACAAACATCACTATCTTGGCCGAAACAAATTCCAACAGCATTGAGGCCATGATCATCCAAAACCAACGTTGCTGGACACGTCATGTTGTTTGCATGCCTGACTTCCACCTTTCAAAGAGGATCTTTTTCTCACAGCGGAAAGAAAGTCAGTGAAGTAGTGGAGGGCAAAGAAAGTGCTTCAAAAACACCCCAAAGGCAAACATGAAGGGGTGTAACATCGACATCAACACTTGGGAGACTCTTGCTCAGGACCGACCAAAATGGAGGAAGGCTCTTTGGGAGGGACCTCAAAGCTTTGAAACAGCTTGTCGACAGGCAGAGGAGGAAAAGAGGAACAGGTGAAAAGAACATGAGAACATCTAATGCAGCAACACAGTGCCCATCCCTCCTGGAAACACCTGTCCTCACTGTGACAAGACATGTGGATCTAGAATTGGGCTATGGAGCCACCTGCGGACTCATTATTAAGATCCTTGGAAGATAATCTTACTTGTTTGCGAATGATCGCCTATCATCATCATCAGTGGGATGGGCTTACTAGACAGTTCTAGGTCTGCCTGTCAGCTTTAGTCATATTAAATATTAAACTCAACTATTTGGGGCTGTCTCTGAGTGGGTCCAATGTTGTGGTCATTTTTATGTTTATCTTAAACAACATCACAGGTTGTCACCAAAGGCGGTGTAGTCTCAGAGACCTCCGGTGCCGCATCCAACATCAATCATAGTCACCCACTGATTTCAGAAGTATTGCACTGGGCCTCAAACACAAGCTTCTAATAATCAAGTAAAAGGATTCAATACCTTAGTGGGTAACTGTGTAGAAAATTTAATCTGTGGCTCTACCACTAGAGTGAGATACATAGAACAGTGCATTTGGTATCTTCCCTGGCCACAGGAAGCTCATCTTAGGGGCCTGTGATCCACTGTAGTTCAATTCACAAATGTGCTCCTATTTGTACAAGCTGTCATCCTACGTTGACCTACTGACTGAACCTATAACAGTCAGAGTGTCTACTATTTCAACCACGGAAATGCCTTCTTTTACTGGTGCAGGGGTTTGGGTTGTAGCCATGTTGGTCTAAGGACATAGGCAGACAAGGTTCCTTGGGTGAATTTGATATCTTTTATTAGACCAACCCAAATGGTTGAAGAATAGTTATTAAGCAAGCTTTCGGGTTCAAAAACCCTTCGTCAGGCTAAGGAAGCTGCAGCAGTTGCTGTGTGCTCTTCCTGGATGGGATGAAAAGTGAAGAAGCCAGGGGCTGGGCTGGGGAGTCAGATGCCAGGCAGATTATAATGTATCAAAAATCCAATGTCTATGTTTAGTCCCTGATCTCTAGTATCCAGCAGGTTGATGAAATGGAGCTCATAGGCTCGTCTCTGGGAAGTGTTGTGTAAGTTTCCCTTGAGGATCAGGACTGAGAGACTGGAGAGAGAGTGGCCCTCCTGTGAGAAATGCGCCCCCACCGGTAATTGGGTGTTTCTGTCTTTGATAGATTTCCGGTGTGCATTCATTCTGGTGCGCAGTTGTTGTCTGGTCTCTCCTACATATCTTCCATCAGGGCATTTGGTGCATTGGATGAGGTATAAGGAAGTTTGCTTCTGGTGATGAGGTTGGCGAGGTTCGGTGCTTGTCTGAAGGCTAGGATGGGTGGCTCTGGGAAGATCTTTTTAAGAATAGGGTCTTTTTCTAATATGGGTTGCAATTTTTTGAGGATTTTCCGTACAGGTTCAAGGGATGGGTGATAGGTCATAACCAGCGGTGTGCGATTTGTGGGTGTTTTTCTTCTGTACTGCAGCAGTTCTTCACGTGGTATCCAGGTGGCTCTTTCAAACGTGCGATCTACCTCTCTGGAGGAGTGTCCTTGCTGGGTGAAAGCCTTTTTAAGATTGGTGAGGTGGCAATCCCGGGTGTTCTCTTCAGTACAGATGCGGTGGTATCTGAGGGCTTGGCTGTATATCACTGCTTTTTTGGTGTGTTTCGGGTGATTGCTGGTTCTGTGCAGATATGTATGTTGGTCTGTGGGTTTCTTGTATACTGTGGTCTGTATTTTACCCTTCTGGATACTGATCCTTGTGTCTAAAAAGGGGATGTTGGTGTTAGAGTATTCTAAAGAAAGTCGGATGGAGGGATGGTGACTGTTGAATTTCTGGTGGAACTCAATCAGAGATTGCAGGTTCTCAGTCCAAATGATGAAGATGTCATCAATGTATCTTGAGTATAGCAAGGGTTTGATGGTGCAGTTCTTGAGGAAGTCTTCTTCCAGGTGGCTCATAAAAAGGTTGGCATACTGTGGGGCCATTTTAGTGCCCATAGCTGTTCCCATCATCTGGAGGAAGTGTTGATTATTAAAAGTGAAATTGTTGTGTGTGAGGATGAAGTGTATAAGCTCAGTAATATCTTTGGGTCTGTATTCTGGGTTGTAATCTTGTTCCTGTAGATATGTAAGGCAGGCTTGGATGCCATCCTGGTGTGGGATGTTGGTGTATAGGCTGGTAACGTCCAGGGTGGCTAGGAGTGTGTTGCTGGGAAGGTGGTCTATGTTTTTAAGTTTCCGTAGAAAGGTTTGTTTACTTTTCATTCCATCCAGGAAGAGCACACACCAACTGCTGACACTTCCTCAGCCTGACGAAGGGTTTTTGAACCCGAAAGCTTGCTTAATAACTATTCTCCAACCATTTGGGTTGGTCTAATAAAAGATATCAAATTCACCCAAGGAACCTTGTCTTCTTTTACTGGTGACATTAAAAGATTTGTATCCTCTGCAGACCAGCTACTAGTGTGGGATGTACAATACGTATTTCCCCAAATGTTCCTTTGCCCTTCTCTAACCTATTGAGAGAGAAATGCAGCTTCTGTTGGCTGGACTATGACATTTGCTCACTATTTTTTATCTTCTTTCCTTGTATTGCTTACATCTCTATTTGTTTCTTGTCCTCTAGAAGCGTATATCAAATCTCCATGGTGACTGCCATCAGAGTACAGATTTCTTCTCTGGTTTAAGCACATCCAGAATGATATCCATCTGGTCCCATAAGACACCAAACTTGGCAACTATAGAAATTGATCTAAGAGAGCTGGTGCACTAGCATGATGTATAGTTTTTTTTAGTACTTCCCTTGCCTCTCCTCTGCCAGTACAACTGAAGATGCACAGAGTGGCTTGAACTGTCCTTTTAGCGCTCTTTCATCTAATATGATGATGATAAGACAAAAAATCCACATCAGCGGCTTTCAGCCAGGAGGAACACAGCCAGTAGTGGCTCTCAATATTATTAATATTTCAGTTAATTTATGTGTTAAAACTTGAAACAGCCAAAATAAAACACACGTCTGACTAATAAAGAGCAAATGATGTTCATAAAGAGTCTTAGCATTATTACGCTCCTGTCATTTTTAACCTTCACTTTCTATCCCCCAGTCCATTGTTTGTTACACCCACTTATGCCTTTTCTTAGAGTGTATGCTCTGTGGGGCAGGGACTGCCATTTTGTAGTCTTCCTTTCAGCCAAATATTAGCTGAGATGGAGAAGGTAAGGTTTTTTTACTATCATTGTAAGATGGATAAAATAGTCGGTTAAAAAGGAGGGGAAAAATTTAGATTGAAAGTGTAGTTAATCAGATTAGATAGGCTACTGTTTACACTCCTCATCAATTGGTTTGGGTCCATCCTCTCTAATATTTTCAATTTCATTAGTGACCTTGGTGCAAGAACAGACGTTCATGTACTTATGATACTTGGAGATGACACAAAGTTGAGAGATAGTGCCAATAATGAGGCGGCCTGGATTGTTACATAAAATAACTTTGTGGATTGGAAAAAGGGGAATGGTATAAAATTTAATACTTCAAAAGTGCAAAGTCATGCATTTAGGGGCTTATTCAAGAACTTGTCTGCTATAAATTGGGGTGTCATAGATTAGAGATGACAGAGGGATCTGGATGTATTGGGTGAAGGTACAATAACCCAATCACCACCAGTGTAATATGGTTGTGAAACAGGTTAGTGCAATTCCATGAATTTATTAGGTGGGGTATTTTTAGTAGAGACAGGGAAGCATTAGTACTATTGTATGAAGCATTGGTAAGCTCTGATTTAGAATATCATGCATAGTTCTGGTCATTCATATTAAAAAAAAAGATTAATTTAAGGTGGAGCAGGTGCAGAGAAGAACTAAAGGGATGATTAGGGAAATGGAAAACTTATGAGGGGAGAGTAAAAGAACATTGCTTGCTTAGCTTAGCAAAATATAGGTTGAGTGGGAGTATAATTATCCTTTATATACATAGATTGGATGGGTCAATAACAAGGAAGGACAATAGCTGTGTAAGTTAAAAGATAATACCGATGCAAGATCAAATGGCTATAAATTAATCAAAAGTAAATTTAGGCTGGAAATTAGAAGAAGTTTCTAAATATTAGTAGAATAAAGGTCTGGAATGATCTTCTGTGCAAAGCAGCAATGGCAAGGGACCTGAATTGCTTCAAGTCTGAGCTGAGTAAATTGATGGAAAGGAAGGCATGATAGGACAGGTATGACGGAGAGGTCTGGCTAGGGGGTTTTGCCCCTTGTGAGGGGCACTGGGGCAATTTTACTGGGCATCTTCTTCCAGGGAGGAGATGCCCAGGACACTTGATGCCTGTGGGATTTTAGGGTGTCCCCACTGAGGAGCTGCTGGAAGGCATGTCTGACTGGGGGTGTCCTCCCCACATTGATGAGCACTGGAGACAGGTCTGGGTGGCGGTAGGTCCGACTAGGGATTTCTTGCCCCACTAAGGGGATGTCTGACAGGGGATGTCTTCCCCAGTGCAGAGTAGGTATGATGGGGGTCATTGAGGATCCCTGGGGACAGGTCTGATTTGGGGGGGTCTCCCTCTGTCAATGACACTGGGGGCAGGTCTGACTGGGGGTAGGTCTGACTAGAGGGGTACTGGGGGAATGTCTGACTTGCTGGGGTGGGGGGGGAGTCCCCTCCATTGAGGGGGCAGTTTTTAGGGAATCACGCCCCTTGAGGTCACTGAGAAGGGCGGTGCTGGCTGGGAGTCGGTCTGACGAGGGGTGCTTTGCCCCTTGTAGGGAGCGGGTGCAATGGGGTACAGGTCCTAAAGGGGGTGATTCCTCCCCACGGAGGGTCTCTGAGAGCAGGTCCAACACGGCATGTGGCCCTCCAGTCAGGAGCAGGTTTGATTGGGGCGTCTCCCCCCATGGAGGGTCTCTGAGGGCAGGTCCCACAGGGCATGTGACTCCCTAGTGAGGGGCAGGTCCAACTGGGGGACTCTCCCCCATATTGAGGGTCACTGGGGGGAGGTCTGATGGGGCTGATCTCCCCCTAGGAAGCCACTGGTCTGACTGGGGTGTCTCCTCCCATTGAGGGTCTTTGAAGGGGAGGTCTGACGGGGCGCATCTCCCGCAGGGAGGGGCAGGTGTGACTGGGGGTGTCTCCATCCCATTGAGGGTCACTGGGGGGAGGTCTGATGGGGCTTATCTCCCCCTAGGAAGGCACTGGTTTGACTGGGGGTGTCCCCCTCATTGAGGGTCTTTGAAGGGGAGGTCTGACGGGGCGCATCTCCCCCAGGGAGGGGCAGGTGTGACTGGGGGTGTCTCCATCCCATTGAGGGTCACTGAGGGGAGGTCTGTGGGTGGGGGTATTCCCCCATTGAGGGTCTTTGGAGGGGCACCCCTCCCCGAGGAGGCACTGCCCGTGGGCCGGCGGCGGAGCACGAGCGGATCCTGCGGGAGATCGAGAGCACGGACACGGCCTGCATCGGCCCTACGCTCCGGTACCGCTCCCCTGCGCGCGGGGTCAGGCGCTTCTTGTCGGGCTGTGGTGCCAGCTCTCCCCCCCTGTGGGGCGGGGATGTGAGGAAGGGTCCTGAGGGGCGGGGGGTGACAGGCCTCTTGAAGCCGCTCGTGGTGTAGGGTCCCCCGGGGCCGGTTTTGGGCTGAGCTGGAGGGCGCGGGGGGTGTGTGGGTCGCCCCCAGCCCGTCGCGGGGCGAGGGGTGCGGGTCACCCCCTGGCCCACAAAGCGGGGCCGGGCAGCCTTCTCCCCCTCAAGCCGCGGGCGCCGTCTCCAAAAGTGTCCGATCCACCCCGGCGTGAGGGCTTCGCCTGCGTCCGTGTCCTTGGGATCGAACGACTGCTTTTCTCGCATTCAAGAGTGGGGTTTTTTGGGGTGGTTTGAGGTGCGATTTAACGTTCCCAATTCAACCGATTTATATTTTTCAGCCCACCCCTTCAGGAGTGTGTGTTTGTGCGGGCGTTTGCCCTTCGATGGAGCCGGCGGTCGTGTTTGTGCGCGCGTTTGCCCTTCGATGGAGCCGGCTGTCACTTTTGGATGTGGTGCTTGTGACAATGTGTATAAATAGGAAGGATGTGGAGACTTGACCACACGCCCCAGAATCTGCGGGAAAGTTGTTGTTGTGTTTTTTGTTGTTGTTGTTTTGTTGCAAGTATTATCTCGGCTTTGTTTTGCCCAAAAATAAAAAGCATGACTAATTGCAAACGGGTACAATTACCATCCTGATGATGATATGAGTTAATGCTTCTGTTGGGTTAATGGAGCCTTTGTTCTCTTATTAAACACCCTTTGCCAGCGGTTCTTGCGAGTACCCTCTTTCATTGGGAAGAGCTTTTTGCTTTAATGTGTGTAGCTGCTGACTTTTTTGTGTGCGTTTCCTCTCTCGGGTGGAGATGAGCATGGTTACAGGAGTGCTGATGTTACTGATGGCAGACGAGGTTCCTTGGGTGAATTTGGTATCTTTTATTCGACCAACCCAAATAGTTGGAGAATAGTTATTAAGCAAGCTTTCGGGTTCAAAAACCCTTTGATGCGTGCCCTCCCCCTCGCTCCCCGTCACCACGCTGGACTCATTTCTCCAAGTCTAGGTGTAGTGTTTCATCCTTCCAGTTTTTTCTTTGTGATGCAGTTTACGATTTTGCAGCAGTGATTTCTGCTGCATTGTTAATTTGGAAGACACGATAGTGATCTGTGAAGTCAAAACCTGTTTCACATGAGAGATCACCTCTCTCTCTAAATATATTCTTCTTGGCTTAAAGATCAAGTAAATGATACCCATCTGGGGCCTGTTCGTCTTATCCAGTTTGCACATCATGCACACACCTGGCCTCATAGAAACAGATTATACATTTTTACAAGTAAAATATCAGTTGCTCCCTCCAAATAAACCCTCTGTGTAGCTGATGAGCACAGAAGTCTGTTCTGATTAGCTTGTGGGATGCTAATGATACGATAGGCAGCTGATATTTATTATCCACAGTGTTCAAGGTCCATCAGGGCAGTACATTTTTTTTTTTTTTTTTTTTTTTAACATTTGCCGCCTCAAAACCTAAATTAATTATGTTACCAAAAACTTATTGTTTTTAAAACTCTTCTTACCTGCCCCCCCCCCCTTTTTCTACAGGTTTTAATTTTTACTTTTGTAATGAGACTAACTAGCTTTTGTCAGTCACAGTTTTCTCTTTCTCTGTTGAGTTTGGGATTTTACTGCTACATGATATTGTAGATGGAACCATTTTTCTAAAAGATTGCCACTTATCCAAGTATTAGATTTTTAGTCTGCCCGTGTCCTTTTTAGAAGTAAAAAAATTATGTTGGGAGCTGGATCTTTTTTAAAATGAATTAAATTGACACCAAAAAAAAAAAAAAAAAAGAGGAGAGGGTGGCATGCCTAGGAATCATCTGTCCATTGACATCAGACATAAGGTTGTGGTTTTTTGCTCTGTAAAATGTACTACAGGAGATTTTAAATTTCCTAATTTTGATGTATTCAGCAGAGGACAAATCAGGCATCAGACTCTAGGCATATCTTTGAACTTTTCTACCATGAATCTGCAACTGTCTTGAAGCTAGGGGAGGGGAGGTCTCTAGTTTTGATATTTCCTGTTTAAATATGATTGCTGTGGAAGTGATTCTAGCCTGTTTGTTTTTTCCTAATTAGGTAGGGAGGGACTTTTTTTTTTCTTTCTTTCTCTCTTCTTTTTATTTTTTTTCTTATTTTACTTCCCTGCTCCAGAGAGCTTAGTCTAAACTCTACATAAAGCAAACATGCTACATGGGGGAGCCCAGAGAAATGGATGTAAATGAAGTGACTCATTTCTTGTGGACATCATGGAAGAAGTGTCTTCCGGAGTCAGACTAGTCTGCCTTCTAGGAATAGCAGTTTCATAATGTGCTTTAGATGCAGAATCCCTTCTGACGCTGTAGGAAATAGCACTGAAATCCTGCTAGCAAGAGGGGCTTGTCTTCACAGAGTTGCAATATTTATTGTTTAATTGTCCTGGTTTCTGGTTCATCATAGATAAAGGATATGCTTGCCTGGTGTGACTATAATCTTAATGGTGTAAAAGTGCTGATGCTCCTGCTTGTTGGCATTTAATGAATGGTTGTGGTAACTAGCTCCTAAGCACTATCAGAGCTCATTGTGCTAGATGCCGTGTAGTCATCAGACAAGCTCTTTGGGGAAGGAACCATGCTTGTAATCTATATTAAATGAGATCTGCCAAATGCGAATGGAGTTTGAGGAAGCATTGACACAGTATTGGTCTTTGTGATAGGCCACAGTCCATGCATGCCAGTGGCTCTATCATGATCAAATTCTTATAATAGGCATGATGGCAAGGGAAACTTTTTTTTTTTTCTTCATGGAGAATAAGGAGTGATTGCACTTGTTTGTGGGAACTTCCACCCAGGTGTGAGGGGAAGCATGGGAAGAAAACACAAAGATACTTGCTGGCTTGTTTGAAAATTGGCTGATGGGGACTGATCAGAGGTGAGCATTGCTTTTAAAGATACGGACTAAGAGACAACTGCTATGGTGGCCCTGGCAGGTAAGAGGGACCCAATGCAGCAGTATAGAGAGACAGCACCAGTTTGATTCCTTTGAAAAAGCTACGTGATGGCACCTTCATACCACTTCAGAACAAAATCTGTGTTGACCAGCTGCTTTTATACCTTAACAGTTGTTTCTAGTGGAGTTCTGATTCTCATGTGACTGTCTTCCAGGCAACTCCCTTTATTTGCAGGAGTTGGTCTATAAATATTTGCAAGTAAAAACCTTACTCAGAAGGACTAGTCAGCTGCTAGCTCAACTTGCCTCATCTACGCGACTGCTGTGGTTCTTTTGAATATAATGTTGTGTGTGTTGGTGGGTGGGAAGGAGGAGCTGTGTGGTTTTTTTTGAGGTTTTTTGTTTTTGGGGTTTTTTTTTTCTGGCAGAGCGATAACCCCTCTATAGGAGAGGGGGTGCAGGCATGGGAGGGACATCACGGCAGAGGACGGGGATCTCTTTTGGGTGAGGGCAGGGGAGTGAGGGTGGGTAAGCTGGAATTGGGGAGAGTAGGAAAAAGTTTCTTAATATCTGCATGTAAATGGTGGTTGGCTTGGAGGGTTTGCTTTTGTGGGTGTTAGGCAGGGAACATAAACCAATGTTATCAGATCCTTGTCCAAGAGCCTTTGGATACCACTGGAATAAGGAGAAGGAATTTCAGGATGTTTCTCCTCTGTTCAGTCTCAATATTTCCTTTTGCTAATTATATCATAGCATTCCTAATCATGCTTCTTCGTACAAACCTAGGTTCTCAAAGATCTTCCATTACTGTAGTACGTGACTGATAACCTGCTCGGTAAAATGCCTTGTTGTCCTAAAATTCTCTCCAGGCTAATCTGTTGTGTAGAAGTCTTCCCCATAATCAGTGCACTGATTGATTTCTTCTTCCTTTTTTGTATTTGTTGCATTTTAGTAAATCCATCTTAATGCAAGGAAGGTAAATCTAGATGCAGGTTCACCAAAACAGTACAGAGAACAACTGCTGCCTCCCTCTCTGGTAATGGGGGGATGGCTCTGCACATCCTGATTTAAAATTATAGTTGCTCTCTCTCCTTTTAAAAGAAAAAAAAATCATCTTGCCTTGCAAGCTCATACCTGACTTTCTGTCCATTATCTCTTCTAAATGTCTTTCAGCATTACTGTGTTCCCAGTGTCTCCCTTGCATTTAAATGTGTTTGGATAGTTCTTTTGTATGTTTGCATGGTTATATTATCTTTTTTTTTTCTTTAAAGCTGTATCTTAATTCTCACTTTATTTTTCTTGTGCATATCTTTATTAGTATTTGCACATCCTCCACAGTATTATATAATTTTTTTTATCACTGCATGGTTTACTCCCTCTTCTAGATTCCTAATAAATGATTCATGGGTTTGATAGAGATTAGGGCTGGAAGGGACTATTAGATCATTGTAGTCTGACTTCCTGTATATCACAGGCCAGTAGATTTTTAACTAGTTTCCCCTGTATTGAGCCCAAATAACTTGCTTTTTAGAAAGTGATTGTAGACAAACTCTTCTGGATTTGAAGATGCCGAGGGCTAGAAAATCCACCACTTCCTTTAGTCTGTTCAGGTGGTTAATCACTGTTAACAAGTAGTATCTTTCCCCCTGACTTGAATTTTTTGGCTTTCAGCTCCAAGCCATTGGTTTTTGTTGTGCATTTCTCTGCTAGGCTGAAGAACTGTTCAGTAATTGGTGTTACTGTGAAAGTGCTTCTCCATTGTAATCAAGTTGCATCTTAATCTTTTTGATAAATTATACAGATTGAGCACTTTGTCACTGTAATGCAGTTGTCCTTGGATTGTTTTTGTGGCTTTCACGTACATCCTTTCTAATTTTAATTTTTTTTTTTTTTAATTTTGATTTCAGCACTGAAAACTTTCTCACTTCAGTCTCAGCACCACTGTAGGCAGGGACAGAAGTTCCTCCTTATC